GCGATGTGTTTATTTTGTTTCCAACACTTCACAAGGAAAACTAATTTTGGTCAAGCTATGTGTCTTCTGAAAAACTCATGTTCCGCATGCTTAAACATGTTTACACAGACAGAAATCACCGTAAACAAGCAACGTCTTATAGGGGTCGTTGGCAATATTTTCATCTTCCTAATCTTTTGTGAGATATTTTTATAATCGCTGAATAGCTAATTATTTTTGTAGTACCCGAATAATTTTCGAAATCTTGCAAACTTCTCACGAATGCCACTAATGGCATCGTCTCAATAGCAGCTACAAATCTCTGATGGCAAAATTAACAAGACGCGCTATTGCAATGGGCATTCCTATTTAAAACTTTTTCTAGTCAGAATTTATCAAAGTTCTTTAATCTTCAGAATCATCGTATGACTTAAGTTAGTCGTTATATAATATACGTTATACAGTATATAAATACTGGCATGTGGAATGAATCAGTTCATCGCATAGATGCCCACCATACGTGCAAAGTCGGGCACATTATGCGTTTATGAAATTGGGAATTGATGAGCTTGCCTCTATTTCAGCATAATATTAGGTACTGCTAACCGAATTTATCTGTTAGGAATTTCTCAAATGCTTCACGAAAATAAGAACAACGCCATATTTTAAAAGTAATGAAAAGCTATTTCAAGTTTGAATATATAGCTGTAACAAAAAATATCGTTCACATGAACTATTTTAATATCATCATAATAAGTTACCAAAAAAAAAAAAAACACGATTTTAATTATTCTACACCCTTCATACCAAGCCATAATAAATAGTCAAGTATATGTCAATAAATTAATGATAATTCATTTTTCATTTTGAAAAATAACATAATGTTCATAAAGTAAAAACAAATATTAAGAAAAATTTCTTTCGTGGAAAATGATTTGAAGCTGAATTATAGGGGAAAAAAAATTATAGAAATTTTAGATTAGCTCGTTACTAAGTCTAAATTCGAGTTTTAAATATTAAAGAAGAAAAATTAAGCACAAATTTAATGCAAGCTAGCATATTTAAACTTTAAGACAATGTTAATAAATTTTTTTTGAAAAATTAATAACCTTAAAATTCTATATTAAATAGTTCACACACATATACTTAATTCTGCAGCAGGATAATTTTAATCATATATCGCGAAAACCTTAGCTGCTGGCATACTACCAGATAACACAATTTAAATATAAAGGTTTTATCTTCCCAACTCCATCAGACAAAATTCTTGATTTTATCTTTTGGTAAGGAGTGAATATAAACACGCAGACCAAAAATTAAGTATGATAAGCAAAATGAAAACGCTTCATTTCACGCAATCGCTTTACAAAAGAAATGCGCTTTTATATATATATATATATATATATTTAAAAAAATCTGTTTATTCATTTTTAAAGCACACTATTTGCAAAAACCAAATTGCTGCTCATTGAATACACAAACGCTGAAAAAAAAAATCTATACTTTGAAATAAATAAAATTCGATAAGAAACACGAAGTACACGGTCACGTGGGATAGTGGGTAACAGTTGAGATTTTCAAGCGGCTAACAGTCGCCTAACAAAGGAGCACTACAAATAAAATTAAAAAAAAAAAAAAAAAAAAGCACTAGAGAGAGTATATTCATTTAGAGGGCGTTGCACAAACAGCGTTACTGCAGGGGGGGTGATACAGAAATCGAGCTAATGCATCTGACGGTGGGTTGGGAGAATTAAACTTAAATCGTGACCAACCGCTGCCCTAAAGAATATAGTGGAAGAAGAAAAGGACAGAGCAGGAGGGAAAAAAGTCCTGGTCCAAAGTGCAGAGAACAAGCTATTAAATAGCAAATCTGGAATTATGGAGCGGAGTCGACCCCTGAGATGAGAGGAGGAGGGGAAGCCAGTTGTACTTTTCCCCCTCTACTAGCACAATCCCTCCCATCACGGTGAGATTTTTACGAGGCGGGCAAGATAACGAATGCAACTCACGAAGCGAACCATCAGTTCCGCTCGACCGCTCCTCTTCCAATGAGTTAATGACACGGCGGGCCGCCACTTCTTCGCTCCCTCCCTCCGCACCTTCACCCTCCCAGCCTTCTAGGGTGGCGTGTTCTGTCGCCCCCCATCCCCGCGAGGGAGCCGTTAAAAATTGTCTCCCGCTAACAACTTCCTCTGCTTAGAAGTAGACGGGTGGACGGATTGGATTGGTCTAATGAGGATCAAAAGGTGGTGAAGCCGCAAATTGGAGAAAGGGATCGGGTTGGGGTAGTTGGGTGGGAGGCAAGAGGTTGTAATTCTTCTTTTGGTGTTTAGATTGTGTGGAATATCCCTCCCAAGGCGGAACATATGATTGATAAGGTAATAAAATTATTGCTCCTTACAAGTCAATTCAGAGGTTTGAATTTATTGAGCAAACCAAAAGCTAACCACAATAAAAGTGACATTTCTATTGATATAGTTTACGAGAGCTAGAACTATTAACAGATTCCGATCTGAACTCATGAATAATAGACTTGTACAAAGAGAATCACCTTATTTGGCATTTATATATGCAAAACCCAATACATAATCAATCGTAATGATGGTTAAATCTACCCTAGTCTTAAAATCAGAAAGGAAACAACTTCGCTCCAGCTTTTCCATTAGCGTAAGCATCAAACTTTTTAGTCTGAACAGACTCAATCTGTATTTCAAACAATTATACTTAAAAAAGAAAACTGATTAATAATACAGATTTTTGGCTTTCGTTTTCATGATATGGCTTTTAATGATCGCATGATTTTGCTTTTAAAAACTCTTGCTTGGAGAATTAGGTAAGACATAAAAAAGAAGGTTTAGTTAAAGTATCTGCTATCGAAACTGCGCTTTTAATAAAACTGGAAGTAGAAAAATTTAGAAACGAAAGTTAAATATCACGGCATATTCGATACGGATCTGACATCAGATGAATAACCACGTATAGATGTCACCAACTTAGGTGAAACATCTGGCTTCCTCAAAATGAATCGAAATGGTGTTGGTGGTATTTACCATCCAACTACCGCAGCAAACAAAATGTCACCCTTACCATGCCACCACCAGCAGGACAGTTTGCTTCCCAGCATAACATAATGGAATAGACAAGGGGGCGTGACACCAACTCCAAAGGTAAGTGCGGGAAGAAACGAATCGCCCCTCATCCGGCGATCAATTCGTTCCCTCAAACTTGTGGAGCTGCCAAAGTGATTTCGCCTCCCCATTTTCATAATACAAAAGAGGGAAAAAGTGGTAGCTACAGATTTCTATCAGGAGACCTACAAAGGGAGTCTTCTCTTCACACTGGGGAGTGCTTTTGCGGATTTCTCTCTTCTCCTAGCGTCCAAACATGAAAGTACACAATGCTGCTAACCGATTATGGGAACAGAGTCCATGAAAAGCAAAGCAGGTGGTATAGTGTTGTTCTGGAAAATAAATGAATTCTCTAAGCTTTTTTCAAACTAACGCCCCCATCTTTGTTGCATTGTATGCATACATACAAAACAAACCCTAATTTTAAGCTTAAGCACTCTTCCTACATTTTCATGTACAAAACACGTCATCACGTGCTATCAGAACTTGACCAAATGCTATTTTTATTTGCCGTCCATCTGTGAAAGCACACAACTATATAGTTACAAATATGCATAAATATTTTATGGCATTCCTCATAGCCATTACTTATGGAAAATTTTTTAGATCTCAAAGACCTTGTCTTCTATATTTAAGGAAAGCAATAAATTTATTTCAGAATTGCTATCCAGTTACGGCAAATTTGTAAGTCATTCTCAAATTACAGCAATGCTCAATGTTTCCACCATTTTGTAAAGAAAATAGTCCTTAATTCTACACGACCGGACTTATCTTTTCATTCACGCACTTATAGGTAAACTTTTGAGGATTATTTCAAATGAATTATTTCCAATTCAACAAAATGGGTTCATGTTTCAAGTAGAGAAGAAGGAAATTTTATTTTTTAACCTCCAATACCAATATCCGAATCCAAATATCTGAAATTCTAATACCTGAATAACAAGAAATGTTCCTTAAAAATAATAAAATATATTAATAAATAAAAATAAAATTTAAAAAAATCTGCCAATTACATTCCACTTATAATATGAATTTTAATTGCTGTCATTTCTTTCTATTAATTTTCTCATGAATTTCCTGTTGTTTCTGAGCACGATTTCTTGAGGGAATTTTAGCTGAAATTAAATTGATAAACAAAAAATTCCTAACTTCTGTAAAGACGTATTTGGCTTATAGGGAGAAAGAACCTAATGACACAAAAAGCCTTGATTTTATCAGCCTTTTCTGTCATTAGGCAGTTCAGACATTTAAATTTTTTGCTGCACTTAAAAGAGAACTGGTACTCGTTTACAGGAAGTTTGATCACCTATGTCATTCTTGATATAGAAGAAAATAAAAGCTGCGGATATACGAAACAGAAAGCAGTCATTAACCTAGGAGCAGGTTAGGAAAAAATAAACAGCCTAAAATAATTTCTCTGCGGATGGACGAAAACTGTTATAATTACAAAGAGTAATCAAGCTACATCTCAACCATCGCCGACTTATGGTCATCGACAACCATCGCCGACTTACGACGATATTCCAACTGCATCTAAAACAAAAATCAAATGCTACAGCATAAATAAAAACGACCAAATCGTAGCTGTAGGATACAAAAATATAGAAAAATACTCCATTTAATATTTCTGATAGCAGAAGATAAGTTAAGACATTCTCTAAATGGAAGTTACATTAATATGAATCAGAACGCTTAGAAAAGGTGAAATGATTGTGCTGGACTAAAGCTACAAGAAACACTTTTCTGAAACACCCATCTTGAGAGATTCATGGAGTTGGCTCGGCATCCCGAATGGTACTACAGCTACTCCCTAAAAGAGAACTGCATCATCCATAAAAATAAATGGAAGACACAGCGAAACGATGCTGGAGAGAATGAAGACAAGGGACTTACCTCTGCGGCCAGTAGGGCTTTAGCTCTAATGTTGAGGAGAGCAGATGCCATATCCTGGAACACAATACAAGGGATATCTTAAGATGCATTCGGCACTGGGATCCGCACAGAAATAGGGGTAAAAAGGCCTCCAAAGGAAATTGGCCTATGGTCTTTTGGGGAAAGGGGGCAGGTACATATAATATTGAAATATACACTTGCAAATAAAATGTCAGATATTGCAACACTCTTGCCATTCAATTTACAAAAGTAGAAAGGACAGACATTTGAAAGATATTAACAAATCACAGTTTTAATATAGAACAAAAGTCAATTTAATGACCACAAAAAAGAAGGTTTTTAAAACTCATTCAAGAATTAAAACAATTAACAAGCAATCGCGAGGCATGCACGCATTAACTCATAAAATGCAGGGGTAGAGCTCAACATATTAAAAAAGACATGAGATTTAATGAAGAAGATTTTCATATGATTACATATAGTTAATGACATGCGAGGGTAAGAAGCATATTTCACTGAAAGGTATAACTTTTGATACAATATATATAATTATAAATGGGCAAATACCGCACATAAAAATACAAATTGAATTGAAAGGTAACTTTTCAAAAGGAATAAATAAATTGGAATGGTAAGTTGAAATAGAGTAAAGAAAAAGGAAAATTTGAATTTATCTCTTCAAAACAAAAACCTCTGTTAAAATTTTAAAAATGCTCTCATAGTGATTTATGATTATTTAGCAGAACAAATACTTTCAAAAAACAACTATTAACTGTCATGTTAAATATAAGTATTTACATAATATGTTAATAAAATTTTGAAAAAGTAATAGTTTTATTCCATGTTAGAATTTCTAAATATTCCATATTCATTGAAAATGTACATGAATACCACATCTGCTACTGTCTTAACATATGGACATATTATGGGCCCTTCCCAGTAAGTATAGGGATCCATATTTTGGAAAATTTAGTGTAATTCTTAAAAAAGGTGATGCGCATACAAAACAAAGTACACAACAAAAGCTTGCAAGGCATATGATTTAAAATGATCTTAGCCCCCTTTCTTAGAGTGTAACTTAATATTTTTTTTTCATTAAAAAAGTTATTATGTGCATTTGGATTGGCAACAGTTAAAGTAAATTTGAAACTAAATTAGAATTTTTAATTAACACTAGTATTTTTTAATTTAAATTAAATTTTTAGATTCTTTTAATTTTGCATAAGTTTTCTAAAATTATTATTATAATTTTCATTATACATGCTAAGAATTTTTACTCCCCTTTAAAAAGTGATTATAAATTTAATGAAAAATTTTTAATACTTTTGAATTTAAATATTTTTTCTCTGTTCATATTTACCAAATATTAAGCATTTAAGCACATAAGTAGGACTAAGCATCCATTTATGTAAATATTTTCTATTCTTTCATATTATTTTGATCCATTTAAGATCAAAATTCCATAATAATATTTACAAACAAAATATTAATGAAGAGAATTCAAGATATAAAATAAATTAATTAAAGCATGCGCAAATCTCATCTCTCTTTAATCTTAAATCCCATCAGATATAGATAATTCTAACTAACGAAAGGTAGATCTTACTTGTTTTTGGAAGCCACAATTGTATAATAAATTCTAAAAGTATCATCAAAGTATTTTAACAAAATGCTGTGTTTCATAACAAATTTTTTTCTCCTCATTTTATCTGTCACACTTAAGTAGAGACAGGCCTACATTACTGCCATAGCAAGATTCGAGTCTTGACATATTTTTTTCCCCACAACTGTAACACGGATATGAGCCAGTTTCCCTTAAAAGGTCCTAAATGAAAGCATCCCTCTTCCTGGTCAGATGTATAATCAAATAAACCAAACATCTTAATATAATCTTCCTTTCATAAAGACAGAGAAAATTAATTTTGGTAGCTAGGACTACTTTGGAGCAATGCCCCATCATACAGGTGCTGGTATTTTTTATGTAATTCCATCACTGCTCAATCTTCCTAAGTATAATATGGCACTATGAAAAAAATGCTAAAAAACGATCACGTCTAAAAGCGTTCATATCATGACATTTCAGTGACGTCGACAAATTGGCAAGATGCAACAGCAAATATTTTGCGTCTTCACAACATTGTAAAGACATCGTAAAAGTTACCACGACCACTTTGCAACCTATCGGACCAGTCTGCAACGTCGTATGCTACTTGGGATCTCATTAATTCTTTTCATTATCTCATCAATTTTCAATTAGAATCATTTCTTTACGTCGACTTGTTGTCAGATATAGTAACAGCAGGTATTTGTCTTCTTGTTGCTTTGTATTCCCCACTTTTCTAAATGATTTGAGAAAAATCCTCGTTTGTTTCTGAAGAGCTTTTAAAATATTGTGCATTTTGTCTTCTTGTTGCTTTGTATTCCCCACTTTTCTAAATGATTTGAGAAAAATCCTCATTTGTTTCTGAAGAGCTTTTAAAATATTGTGCATTTAAACATTTGTGAAAAAATAATAAAACAAGCCTAGATTTTCAAAATGGAAAAAAGGCTAGGACTGACTAAGCAGAAAAGTGATGATTCACAAGTTGTGGGCCAGGAAAATCTATTAGCACTAAGAGTATTGAAAAGAAAAAATTGCAAATAGAAAATAGAATGAACGTTATTTATCATTTGGATTTACTTGAAACGGAGATGAAACGAACTCTCAACCCGAATGTGTTGTTTGCGGTGAACTACTGTCTAATCAAAGTATGAAACCATCATTTCTTAAAAAACATATTGAATCTCAGCATGACAATCTAAAGGATACATTTGAAGAATATTTTAAGACGAAATTATCGAGAGTTCAAAAATAGTAAACAAGTAATGAAATGCTTTGTTACTTCCAAGTGAAAAAGCTCTGGGAGCTAGTTACCTAGTAAGTCTGAGAATTGCGAAGACTGGACAGGCTCACACTATTGAAGAAAACCTTACATTTACCATCAGTTAAAGATATTGTTTAATTATAATACAACGAAAAAGCAGCTAATGAACTTAATAATATTCCGTTCTCAAATGATTCAGTAAGTCGAAAAATCCATGAAATAGCAAATTTCATAAAAGAGACACTTATTCACAAAATAAAACACAATGAGTATTTCACATTACAATTGGATGAAAGCACTGATATAGCGAACTTTGTTCAGTTATTAGTTTACATATGTTGCGAAGAAGATAAGCAGATTGCCAGCCAAACAGTATTTATTTTGTGAACTTTTTCATGATAGAGCAACTGCACATGAAAATTTCAAAGTAATTGATAATTTTATGTCTGAGAATGATATTGCATGGAATAAGTGCATTGCCATGTGCTGTGAAGGAGCTCGGCCTTTAACAAGGAAACATTCCGGTGTTTCTTCTCAAATAAAAAAAAAGTCACACCTGAAATTTATTTACTGCTCCATTCATTGTGAAGCTTTAATATCCAAAGCAATCCCCGAAAACCATTTTAAAATCATTTTGAATCAAGTTGTGAAAATTGTTAATTTTCTTAAAAGCCGCACAGCTAGGGCAATGAACATGAAACGCTTTTGTTACATTCCAAAGTAAGGTAGTTATCCACAGGAAAAGTTTTAAATCATCTTTCTGAACTTCAATCAGAAATTCAAATTTTCGTCTGTGATTCAAAATTTGAATTGCAAAAATCAAGGGCAAAGCGTTAATTTGCTAACCGTTAGAGATAAAATAAATGACAAAAACTTGAGCTAATAATCAAAGTATTGTATAATAATATTTTAAGCTTTTTACCCCTTTCAGAAAGTTTTCTAACTGAAAATTTCAAAAAGAAAAAAAAAAAAAAAAAAAGAATCGGCATCCAACATTAAAAATCATTGTTTTTAATTGAAAAATAATTTGAACATGTACTTTCCCGAGTATTATGAAAAAGAAAATTGGATTAGAGGTCTCTTTTGGTCAAACGTACCTGAAATTTTATCTCGTGAAGAAAAATGAACAATTGATAGAAGGTTCATGTGATCGAACTCTAACTGAAGATTTCAAAAATAACACACTTCTTAACTTTCGACTGATCGACTGAACACACACACACACACACAAAAAAAAAAAAAAAAAAAAAAAAAAGAAGAAGAAGAAGAAAGAAGGCAGGCAATTTAAATAAAGCTATTAAATTTTTATTGCCTGTTTGCATAACCTATTTGACTGAACAAGAATTTTCTTGCATGTTATATTTGAGAAATATATACAGGACAAAATTGATTAGTTGACAAATTGAAGTTTATCCTAATTTATAGTTAAAACTAAGCGAAATTATTCCAGACATAAAGAAATTGATTTCTCTTAAACAGGCCCAAATTTTACACTAAATTTTAGAATCAAAGTATTATAACTTAAATTTTGATATTTAAAATGGCAACCAATTTTTAATCTAAAAAATTTGTATGTGTGCATATTTAATACAAAAGCCAATAGGTTGTGCAACTGACAAAATATTTTTTTTTTAATATTCCTATTGAGAAATTAAAAAATAATCCTTGTAAAATGTAGTGGTGATACTTTTTTAGTTTAGGTTTTTCACTTTTCGTTTAGATGGTATGCCGTTAGTCAAGATGTTGAGGACCCAGATCATTTAGTGATATCAAAAACACATAACTCGCAACAATACAATACGTTACGCTACAGCAAGTACAGGAAAAAAATTGGTCATAATTTTATCACTGTTCATAGAATAACAATGCAGTTGCACGGGATTTTTGCAAACCCTAGACAATTATTCTAATTCCATGTATTACTTGCGGCACTGTTTTATTTAATTTGAAAAAGAAAGCTATTTAAAATCCGGTCAGTCATTTTGAATAATCATGCTGCATATTTATGGATGTAAATATACACAATACATTATATGTATATTAGGACAATTAGCTATTTAATCAAATCAATGAAGCAGCAGTGTGACTATTTCCAGCTGTCTGCGTGCTCCACCCAAATAGCGAACGGCTCTAATTTAAAAAAAGTGAGGCATAATAGCTAACATTCTGCTTCACTTCGCTGGAGCAACG